CACCAGTTTATTTTTTCTATCAGCTTTGGTATCAAATTAAAGTAGAGAAAATAGGGTTATTTTGAGATATAACACATAGCTTTAGCATTAACCAGTGCTGAGAAAAAGGTGATTGAAAATGAGAAAAATGATGAAAGCGTCGAGTACCCTAAATCTACTCTCAAACAAACGCTCATATCTCGACACCAGTTCATTTGTTTTATCAGCTTTGGTATCAAATTAAAGTAGAGAAAATAGGGGTTATTTTGAGATATAACACATAGCTTTAGCATTAACCAATGCTGAGAAAAAGATGATTGAAAAATGAGGAAAATGAAAAAAATGAAAAAAATGAAAAATCGGTTTTTTTTGGGTTTTTTTGCTGCTTTTCAATCATTTGCTTTTACGAGATTAAAAAGGAAAAGTTGGGTAAATAAACCTAATTCTAGATTGGTAATAGAATAGTTTTCAGATGTCACACCCTGGTTGGGTGATGGTCTCGTTTCTCACAGAAATCTTCTCGACAAATATCAGGTAAATCTCGGAAATTGGAATAGCCAAAAATCTCTCAATCTCTCAAATCAACAATTCATTACTATAGAAATCTAAGTTGTACTCCAGTTTGACCAAAAAACAAAACAAGACCATCATTCTCTCATCAAGAACTCAAGATATTCCTTTGAGAAGTTCTCAATCAATTTCCAGCCTCGCTCAATCGATGTACAATTGTGCGAACGACACAGAAATCATCAATCATATCACAAAGGATACGTATAATAAGGTACTATTTATTATATAGCTAAATGCTTTCCATTTTAGCACTATCTCCCGCAACATCCGGTCCAAGTCCGTGTCGTATGTGGGGTTCAAGAGGTCACTTCGGTATCCGAATTGACTCAGGATTTCGAAATTGGTCAGTGCAAATGATAGTGTGAGATCCAGCTTGAACAATAGCATGAGATTCGGATAAAGTTACGGTGTGAAATCCAACTTAAGCCATAGTATCAGATTCAGATAAAGTTACGGTCTCGATTTCTTGAAAAATCAACTGGTAGTATTGTTAAACGACAGTGTGACATCCAGCTTAATCTATAGCCTGACATCCAGCTTGATCTATAGCCTGATATCCAGCTTGATCCATAGCCTGATATGCAGCTTGATCCATAGCCTGATATCCAGCTTGATCTATAGCCTGATATCCAGCTTAACCTATAGCCTTGATCTCCAGCTTAATCTATAGCCTGATATCCAGCTCTAGCCTGATATCCAGCTCTAGCAATCTATGACAATTCCATATTCTATTCCTCTCTCCATTCCTTTGATGAGAAAGATGTGCAAAGAATTGTTGCATTTCTGAGCGAATCGCCACTCGCCTCTCCATTTTCCATTTTCCATTTTCTTGTAGCTAGTTCCGGCTTTGCATTTTTGAGGAAACATCAAACTTAGTCCAACTCTGCAACATATCGATGTTTCCAAGATCCGTTTCCAATCGGATTGTTTACCCATTTTTTTCTTCTCTTCCATTTTTGGATGAATCTATGCAGCTTTCCCCTTTCTCGATTTGATTCTTGAGGTCAAATTTCGGCACTCAATCCCTTCTCGTCGGGTTTCCACAATCCTCAATCCCCTCAATTTTTTTTTGAGAATTTGATTCCCTTCACAAAAAAGCAACAATTACTATCAAGAAGGCATAGTAAAAAGCCAAAGAGAAATTGAAGGCAAAAAAAGGAAGGCAAATAGAAGGCATAGTAAGGAGAAATTGAAGAAATTGAAGAAATTGATTGCCATTGATTGTCATCAAAATAGATAGTCAGTAGATTGTCATGATAGCAAAAAAATTGAGTAAATGAACTGGTAAATGAATTGGCTTGTAAACGCACGCTTTCTGATGCACTGGCTCTTCATCTTTCCTCCAAAGAAAAGGAAAAAAGAGCGAAAAGCTCTGCTTTGGGCCTTGGTAACTGAACTGAGTTTTCAAAAGCATCAGTGCTTCTGTGCTCAGCAATCAGTGCTCGGCAATCAGTGCTTCAATGCTCAGCAATCAGTGCTTCAATGCTCAGCAATCAGTGCTTCTGTGCTTAGCAATCAGTGCTTCTGTGCTTAGCAATCCGTGCTTCAGTCCTCAGCAACCAATGCTTCAGTGCTCAGCAATCAGTGCTTCAGTCCTCAGCAAGAAAACCTGGAACTGGCTAGACGATCTAACAGAAGATCTAACATCTTTTCTTTGTTATTGATCATAAATAATTGCCCTTTAACTTCAAATTTAACAAAAAAAGCAAGGAAATAAAAAATGAGAAAAAAAGGCAGTGAAAGGATTCGAACCAGGGTGAACCCAGCCAAAGCCAGATCAAGACCCCGCACACTTAACTCTACACCATCAGGTCACTTTGAAAGGAGAGGGAAAGAGCCTATCTATCCCCCAGCTGCCATTTTCTATCTATCCCTATCTATCCCCCAGCTCTTTTTCAAGTTAAACTCCCCAAACTTTGCAAGCGTTTTTTTTTGTAAACGATTTAGAAGTGGCAAAAAATAAGTAGAGCATCGTGTTCTCCATGCTCGAGTGTATCTCAGCAGCCTAGCAAAATCGTTTAGCCATTCCCTAAGTAAGTGGCTCCAATTCTTCAATTCTTTCAATTCACTGTCCCGAAATTTCATTACTTACAAGTCGAACCTTACAAGGTCAACTTGAAAAGTAAAGCTTTTTGCTTCTAAGCCTATAAGCTTTAAGCCTATCAGCTTCTAAGCCTATCAGCTTCTAAGCCTATAAGCTTTAAACCTCTAAGCTTTTAGCCTATCAGCTTTAAGCCTATCAGCTTCTAAGCCTATAAGCTTTTAGCCTATCAGCTTTAAGCCTATCAGCTTCTAAGCCAAGCCTATCAGCTTTAAACCCATAAACTTTAAACCTATAACCTCTCAGCCATTCCTTCCAAAAATCGATATCAGTTTCCCTTTTCCCAGAATTTTTCCTCAGATTTTTATGTGTATGAGGAGATTTTTGAATCGAAGACGAAAAATGGGAAGAAAAGGAGAAGAAAGAAGGGGAAAAGGCGGAGTGAGGTCGCCGAAGAGATTTGATTAGAGAAGGGGAAAGGGTAGAATGGAAAGGAGTGCAATGCGAAGACCTTTTGATGGCCAAATCGAACCAGGGATCGGCAGTGGGAAACAGATTTACTGACATACGATCAGCTACTCTTGAACCTGTCGAATCATAACGATTGTAAGCTGATGAGAATTTAGATGGTTTGATTTGATTTAGATGGATGTTAGATGGGGTTGAATTAACACAAAGATGACTCAATGCTGGGTCATGGCTGCTTCTCGTGAATGGCTGCACCAAATCAAATGAACGATCAAATGATGGTTATCGTGCGTGCCAGATTGGGAAATGAAATAGAAAACAGGCCATTGTTGCGTACTGTAGGCTATAATTTTGAGGGTTACTGTAGCTTGGTAGGGCGGCTATCTAATTATCCCTCTAATAGTGAAACAAAATCAACAAAGCTTCCTGGTGCCTTCCAGATTAGAGCTTAAAATAGAAATCAGACCAGTTTGACGTACTGTAGGCTATAATTTTCGGGGTTAGTGTAGCTTGGTGGGGTAGGCTATCTAATTATCCTCCTAATAATAAAACAAAATCGACAAAGCTTCCTGGTGCCTTCCAGATTAGAGCTTAAAATAGAAATCAGACCAGTTTGGCGTACTGTAGGCTATAATTTCGAGGGTTACTGTAGCTTAGCAGAGTAGGCTATCTAATTATTCCTCTAATGATGAAACAAAATCAACAAAACTTCCTGGTGCCTTCCAGATTAGAGCTTAAAATAGAAATCAAGCCAATGTCATAGACAAAATTTCTTGAAAAAGAGGGGAACCCGTTAAACCGACTGATCAATTTTCCAGACTTATACATCAACGAGTTTTGGGAGGATCCGGCGCTAATCTACGAGCATTTGACTCCATGTAAAAACAACTACTCATTCGATCATAAAGTAAGTCTTGGAAAGAGAAAAGATTTAATCCGATCTCTAGATTCTCGAAGCTTTATGGATCCCGAACACATGTTTTATCAATTCGAAAAATGCGGCCATTCACGAGTCACCATTTCGGTTAGTGACATCCAATTTGCGGGAATCACTTTCAAAATTCTAGAAATCCTTTTAGAATTTAATGGAAAAGCTCTCAAAATCGTCAAAATCGTCAAAAACCTGTCAAAATCGTCAAAATCCTTTCAAAATCCTTCTAGAAACATCTTCTTGATGATTTTCTCGAATGGAACTTTATGGACGAATTATCGAATGAAATTGACCGGTCCATGTGAGATGAATCTCAAAAGATTCCCATTTGATCAACAGAAATGCTTGCTCACTTTTGAATCGTGAGTTCTTCTAAACCTTCTAAACTATGCCCATTTCTACCGTAATCTTGTCTTTTTTTGGATAAGCAGCTTATAGTAGGCAAAAAGAGCTTCCTTTAGCTCATGCAATAACTAAAAAACACTCTAGCAGAGCAGAGCCAATCCGGAAACCAGAACTTAATTTCTGGTCTACCCAGACTCGCAAATCGAGTACAAATTGTGAAAATCAAAAATCCGAATGCTGAGAATTGTAGTGTGACATCCAGATTGAAGAAAAAAAGCGATTAAAATCAAATTGCATTTGTCAATTTTTCGGAATCATTCCGAACTCTTGACAGTCCACTTCCGCAGTCACTATTTTTACGAAAACCAAAAATCCGAATCCTGAGAATTGTAGTGTGACATCCAGATTGAAGAAAAACGCCAAGTAAAATCAAATTTCATTTGCCAATTTTTCGGAAACATTTCGAACACGATCACTGTTAAGAGTCTGCGATGATTCCAAAAAATTGACAAACGCAATTTGATTTTAATATCGTTTTTTCTTCGATCTGGATGTCACACTACAATTCTCAGCATTCGGATTTTTGATTATCACCAAATTAGCGTACCCGATTTGGCCCGGGTGAATCCAAGTCAAATCCAGTCTTGCTTGAGCCTTGAGGAAGCCAATTCCGGCCTTAACTGCCCCCTTTTGATTTCTCTGGCTTAAAAACCACTTCTCAGTTACAATTACAACACGGGCGAGGTGCGAATGAATTGGAATCAGCCATTCCCAGTGATTTTGATGAAAGACATTCAATTGCCCGATTTCGAGTTGGTCCATTTCTCGACAATGGCCGAGGAGATGGTGAGTCGATTGTTATTTTGCCTAGCGACATCCAGATCCCCCGAAAACCCTAAGCAAACCTTTCCAGCTTTATCCAGCCGGCTTCTGGGACGAGCTAACCGTTGCTTTCATCTTCAAACGCCGATATGGATGGTACATCTTACAGGTAAATCGATTTGGAAAACTTTAATCGAAATCCTGGAAGTCACAACGAATTTCTGAAAATTTACTTGAACGATTCCTTAACGAATTTCAGGGCTACATCCCGACAATGGTCACCATTTTGATCTCGTGGATCTCGTTTTATTTGGGAGCAAGGTGAGGTGGAGAGTTTTGACGCAAAGCTCAAACTGGGTTGCACTGCAGGGTTTGCAAAAGTTTTTAAACGGTTTTAAAGCCTTTGAGCTTACAGAGGTACCCATTGGAAGTAATAAAGCCAGTTTTGACGTCCGAATTCTCATTCTTGATCGATTCAAATCCAAAATTTCAGAGCCATCCCTGCCAGGACAATGCTGGGGGTGAATTCTCTTCTCGCGATGACGTTTCAATTCGGGAATATCATCCGAAATCTCCCGCGCGTCTCGTATGTGAAAGCGATCGATGTGTGGATGTTGAGGTGAGGATTTGAGAAGATATGAGATGTCATTCTTGAACGGATAGCTCTCGTGCGTGCCAGATTGGAGAATGGAAAAGAAATAAGACCAGTTTGGTGTACTGTAGGCTATAATTTTCGGGGTTACGGTAGCTTGGCGGGGTAAGCTATCTAATTATCCCTCTAATAGTGAAACAAAATCGACAAAGCTTCCTGGTGCCTTCCAGATTAGAGCATAAAATAGAAATCAGACCAGCTTGGCGTACTGTAGGCTATAATTTTGGGGGTTACTGTAGCTTGCTATTAGCTATACCCTAATTCTCCGCTGGATCGAAACTAGGTTAAGGAAACTCTCGTGTGCCTTCCAGATCAAAACTTGACGTGATAAAATACTGAAAGAGATGGAGAGTTAAACGCTAAACTAAGGGCAATCAGGAAAAGTGCTCAAAGTGATGTTTTTCATATGCAAATTTCTGAAAATCGATGCACAGACGGGGGAAATTGTCAATTTTCGTATTTCAGCGGAATGCTTTTCATCTTTATGTCTCTTCTGGAGTTGTGCGTGGTCGGTTTTATGTCTCGAAACGACGGTCAACCACCAAAAGCTGCAAAAAAACGGAAAAAGTTGGGAAGATAAAGCTGAGAAGAGCTAGAAGAGCTAAAAGAATCAATTTAGAGAAGCTGAAGAGGAGGACGTGGCATGGAAAGGAGCGCAAACGAGTCCACATCTGGAATTGAGACAGGTTCAGAGAATTTTCAGAGAAAATTTTATTCCTAAACCTATCGCTAAAATAAAAACACCTATAAGTGCAGTGACATCCAGATTAAACTTTGCAATTGTCAATTTTCTAGTTCTGGGTCGATAAGCGCTGCTCTTCGATGCGAAACCATGAGAACAACAATGAGGTGAGCTATAGAAATGTTTGTTTTTGTTCAAATTGAAAATCTATCTTTTTCAAAAGCTATCGTGACATCCAGATTGACGAAAAATTTGCAAATAAACCTTTTTTTTCCAGTCTTTTCCAGTCAACGATGCGCCGGTAAAGCAGCTCACCTTTGATTTGGTGCCTTTTTTGTGTTTTCATTAAAGAAAAGTTTGGGACTATATAAAAAGCCGTTTAGAAGGGCGCCATTCTAAAGAGCGCCATTCTAAAGAGCGCCATTCTAAAGAGCGCCACTCAAAAGAGCGCGAAAATTAAAAAAATTAAAAATTTAGTTTAAAATTGTGCTTTATTTTGATTAACGAGTGTTTCATTGTTCAATTTTTTTTCGGGAAATGGCTTTGACGTGGAAAGGACGAGCGCTTATCTATGATGAGAATGGCTTTGACGTGGATAGGACGAATTTATGCACCGATGAATACTAAAACGGAGACCGCTTATCAAGAATTGTTCTCAACGTTGCGCAAAGATGGAATACCACCACCGGCAAAATTCAAATCCACCCGGCCTCTGCTCCACACAGCCTCTGCTCCACACAGCCTCTGCTCCACACAGCCTCTGCAAGTAGGAACCGAATAGGAACCAAATAAGAACGGAATAGGAACCTGCTTCACACTGGCCTTTCACTGGCCTCTGCTTGTAGAAAGATGGACTACCACAAAATTCAAATCCACATGGCCTCTGCTTCACATTCACGAGGTTTGATCTTTTTTGCATATCCTCTATGGAATTGGCCACCTATAGCAGATTTAATCTTGCTTATTTACGCGCTTAACGAAGCTTCACTACTGCTTCTTTCATTTTTTGCAAATTGTTGGCGCTCTTTTGAGTGTTTTTGCATTGGTGCCCTGGAATTGGCGCTCTTTTAAACGGCGCTCTTTTGAATGGCGCTCTTTTGAATGGCGCTCTTTTGAATGGCGCTCTTTTGAATGGCGCTCTTTTAAACGGCGCTCTTTTAAACGGCGCTCTTTTAAACGGCGCTCTTTTAAACGGCGCTCTTTTGAATGGCGCTCTTTTGAATGGCGCTCTCTTAAACGGCGCTCTTTTGAATGGCGCTCTTTTAAACGGGGCTCTTTTAATATAGTCTCAAATTTTCAAATTCTTTCATAAAGAGTTTTTTTCAGTTTCCACCAGTCGACTCAGTGGTAATTTTTTTTTGAAAATTATCTATTTTTCATTTTCCAGCAATTTTCTTTAAACTTTTTGTTTAGTTTTATTTTTAAATTGGCTTTAAATGCTTTAAATTTTACCACTTAATAGCAAAAATGATTATTTTACAGTCAACACCCGACGATTCTGTGGTAAATCAGCGCTTTTTTTCTTTTTTAAAGTTCATTTTTGCTTTTTTCTAGATCACAGAAAGCTTTTTGACTATTTTAGATCACTTTTTGACCATTTTACGTCACTTTTTGAGTACTGTAGCGAGATAGGATTACGGTATTCTGCATTTAAATTCAGCCAAATCACTTTCCAGACACCGCCACTCGGCGACGCCGACATGTTACCCCCGTTGCAAGCGTTTGAGCGACGCCGAGAAAGGGGATCGTTCTTTGGAGCGGTGCGGAAACGATGGAAAAGAGTGCCCTCATTGCGACCGGAAGTCGTCGATTTTTACAGGTAAGCTCATGCCCAAAGCTTGGAATTGCCTCTAAACTCCCTCTCGCTTGGAATTGCCTCTAAACAGTAAGGCTAGTTCCGCTGGCAAGTAGTGGCGGTGGTTGCCAAAAGTAAATGACTGCAGCCTGGGTCGAACCCGAGAGGCTTCAAGACCTCCGGTTTGAGAGACCGACGCTCTGGCAATTCGCCACGATGACAGACTGAATTTTTTCTTAATTTTCTTAATTCTCGTTTACCAAGTCTACTTTGTGAGCTCCAGGAAGCACAAAAATTTGATTTCTATAACCGGTATATGGTAGAGTCGCTGAAAATCTTCTCCGTCCTAAACCGTGCTCTTTTGAGACCATGGAAAACAGTAGATTTCTAAAATTCTCTTGACTAAGTCAACTTTGTGCATTCCAGGATGCACAAAAATCTCCGCCTTATAGCCGATACGTGATAGAATAGCTGAAAATCGCCTCAGTCCTAAACGGTGCTCTTTTGAGACCATGAAGGAGGTCGATTTTCTTAATCCTCATTAACTAAGTCTACTTTGTGCATTCCAGGATGCACAAAAATCTCCGTCTTATAGCCGACATATGGTAGAATCGCTGAAAATCGCCTCAGTCCTAAAGCATCTCCCTATTCCCTACCTTTCAATCTAATTTCTTCGAATTTTCATTAAAGCATTGTATACTGTGCGTTCCAGAATGCCCAAAAACTTCCTATTTTATAGCAAACAAGAACCAGGATCGCCGAAAATCGCCTTGATTCTAAACCGTGCCCCTGCACTGCCCTAAAGGCGTCCGTTTTCCCTCCATTTTCAACTTACTTTACCTAGTGCGTTCCAGGATGCACAAAAATCTCATTCTTATCGCCGGTGCATGGCCGGAATTGCTATAAATTGATGAGTATTTTTCCGCGCCCTTTCCTCTGTGCTTTCTGTGCCTTTATTAAGAAACTTGGAAGACCTGGACTACCCCATTGATCCAATTTTGCAAAATAATGAATACTACCAGTCCCTACGTCTACTACCTATCAATCCTCAATAAAAATTCAAAATTTTTTTTTCCAGTGCGATCCTCTTCCCGACGTGCTACTGTTTGTTCAACATTATGTGAGTCTTAAAATGACTGAAAAGCAAAAACCGATTCACACAATATCCAGTGTGATATCCAGCTAAGAGAAATCAAAAACTTTTCTCGAAATCTAGTCAGCCAATCTCAAGAAATCCGGGTGAACTCATTCTCAGCACATTCTCATCACCTTTTTCAGCTACTGGACATACTATTTGACCGATTTGTCGGCTTCAAACGAGGTCCAAATGCACATTCCGCCGGCCGACGAGGGAAACAAATAGAAATTTGCTTCCGCCATCTATCAAAAATCTCTCATTTCCACATACGGGTACTGTCATTCTTCCCAAATTTTCTCATTTTTTAATTTTAAATTTTCATTTTTTATTTTTTATTTTCATTTTTCATTTTCAATTTTCATTTTTCATTTTCCAATGGGTTTTTCTCAGTTCTTTCTTTTCATTATCATTGTTTTTTTTAAAAAAAAACGATTCGTTTGAAGTGTTTATAAAAGTTTAAAACAAAAACAAGTAAAGCCTTCAAAAAAAATACAAAATTTTTACAAAAATGATTTTTTCAAAATTTTCTTTAATTTTTTTGTTGCCACGTCTGTGTCTCAGACTGAAATTTGGCGTCAAATAGAAAAAGTGAAAATTTTTGTGAAATTCGATAAAGAACTAAGTAGTGTGCGTTCCAGATCAGAGATCAACGTTAGTTTTTTTGTTCGGAAAGTGGAAATTTTCGGAAATTTTAAGGAGATAGTGAAAATTGGAGCTCACAAGGGTTTTTGGCTTAAAAAAGTGGGTTGAATCTTTTTGAAGATCGAAGAAGACTTTTTGAAGGTCGAAGAAGGTCAACTTTTTGAAATTGGATACCAAAGAACTTAGCTAAACTTAGAATCGCTGAAAACTCGGGCTATTCTGCGATGGAGGTGGTTTTTTCATGAAAGACGGAGTGGGGAAACGCTCGACTTGCGGGGGTGGAGAGGAGACGATCACCGGCAGATCGTCACGAGCATTTGAGGGGTTTTTGAGTCTAAAATCAGTAAACAGCTTCTCGATTTCATTGCTAAACAACTCTACCTCTGATCCACATAGCGCTCGTAGTCACGGGCCTGATCCTCGATCGGTATTCTGAAAATCAAATGTCGAATTTCCAATGGGTTTTTCTCAGCTCTTTCTTTGCCTAAGTCTGAGCCTGAGTCTAATCCTGAGCTTAAGCCTAAGCCTGAGCTGGAGGCTAAGCCTAATCCTGAGCCTAAGCCTAAGCCTGAGCCTTAGCCGAATCCTGAGCCTAAGCCTAAGCCTAATCCTGAGCCGGAGCCTGAGCCTAAGCCTAAGCCTAATCTTGAGCTGGAGGCTAAGACTAAGCCTGAGCTGGAGCCGAAGCCTAAGCCTAATCCTGAGCCGGAGCCGGAGCCTGAGCCTAAGCCTGATCCTGAGCCAGAGCCTACAGAGCCTCATCCTGAGCCTAAGCTTAAGCCTAAGCCTAATCCTGAGCCTAATCCTGAGCCTAAGCCTAAGCTTAAGCTTAAGCCAGGGCCTGGAACAGATCGTAAATAGATTCACCACGGATACGGTAGTGGACAGAGTTTAGAAAACGAATCTTTCCCTCGCTCACCCATTATTCCCTCCACTCCACACGTTCTCCATTTGATGACTATCCTGTGCTCTTTGTTGTTGTCTCTCTTGTCTTTCCCTTTCCAGACTACTCTTCAATTCATTGTATGACACGTATCCGCCTTGTCCCAGCGATGGATCAAAGCCATCTTGATCGATTTTCGAACTTCCATAATAACCGCCAGATGGTGTGATGTTCACCTGGAATAGATCCGGACACTAAACGAAACATTGAGATAGCTATTGTGCCTTCCAGATTAGAGCTTAAAATAAAAATGAGGTCATTGTCGCGTACTGTGAGCCATAATTTTGGGCCTATTGTAGTTTTCTTTTACTACTAGCAGATAATTATTCCCTAAATCGAAATTAGATTAAGGAAACACTCGTGTGCGTTCCAGATCAAAGTTTAAAGTGCAAAAATTATCGCTGGTTACTATTTTGAAGGATATTAAGGACCGATTCATGTTGCCCTATAAAATTAGCTTCAATTTCACTCACCGATTGAACAAAATCCTTTCTCAGCAATTGTGGAGCGCATACATCAAGAAACAGTTGCCCAAGTGGAGCGGTGATCAGAATCGAAACCACACAGATTGCGAGAATCATTTGCGAGTACGGTAGAAGATCCAACCATCCAGAAGCGGCCAAAACGATCGATGGCGCGAGAACAGCCTGCAGATTGAATGGTTTATGGGGTATTCTACCAATATGGTTCCAATATGGTTCCAATATGGTTCCAATATGGCTCCAATATGATTCCAATATGGTTCGAATATGGTTTGATTATGGTTCCAATATGGTTCCAATATGGTTTCTACAAATCGTTCCAATGTGGTTCCAATATCGTTCCAATATGATTCCAATATGATTCCAATATGGTTCCAATATGGTTCCAATATGGTTCCAATATGATTCCAATATGATTCCAATATGATTCCAATATGGTTCCAATATGGTTCGGATACGGTGTCAATATGGCTCAAATTTGGTTCCAATATGGTTCTACCAGACTGTATTCTACCGTATTTTCAAGCTACTTCAAGAGTTACGGTAATTTTAAGGCTAGCTTTTGAATCGCTATTTTTAAAAGAATATTGTAATGGAGAAACCTGTATAGTGGCTTTTGGGAAAAACGATCCAACAAAGACGAGTTGCTCGGCGAAACTCAGTCCCGAGCAGAGAGTGAGTAGAATGACGGCTAGAGCGCGAATCCCGACACCGATTCCCAGAATTGCCAGCCCAATGGCAACTGTTTGACCGCTTGTCTAAAATTGTCAAAAATTGTCTAAAATCAACAAAAGTCAAGCTTGAACTGTAAAATCTGTCTCTGTGCTATCCAGATTAGGGAAAAATGAAAAAAAATTGCCATTATCGTCAATTTCCTCCTACTCACATTCGGTATATCAAATTTCATGCCGAACATCACGAAAAGAATCGGCTGAAAGATGAGATTCCAGAAAGTGGCAAACGTTTTCTCCTCGATGAACGTCTTTTTCTCGCTGTCCACCCGCCACATACGGATCGCCGTCAAACACGTGGTCACCAACGAGATCACCCCAGCGAATTCGACATTCAGTCTGAAAATGTCGTGGTACTAGCCTTGTTGATGGAGTTTTTGTCTTCAAAACCACCTTTTCTGGGGTAGTTTTATGCGTAGATTCCGAAAAACACAACGAGAGCTTGGGAAAAGGCGTTTTAAGCCGAGTTTCGAGACTCCAAAGTGCGCACTTCTTTAGTGTACTTCACTATATAAGCTATTGGAGCCCAAGCTATCGACTATTGGGGCACTTTTCAAGGTCAAAACTAGAGCCAACCATTTTTAACCACTAAATATTCCTTTTCTAACATTTGGTAGATGCAAAACAAATGGAAAAAAAATCCTTTGTTTTTTGACCGATTTTGACTCATTTGGGGGCACATCGGCGCGAAAATGCGTTTTCTATAGGATTTTTCTGGGAGTACCTTTTTTAGATGCGGAAAATTGTGCTGATTCCGAATCTGAAGGAATTTTCCAAATCCCTCTGACAGAAATTTTTAAAATTGAGTTTTAGCAGTTTTTTGGTCATTTTGTATGGCAAATTTTGTGGTACCCTGCAGTTTGGAGCTCGTAACTCGACAACGAGGGTCTAGAACCAAAAACGAAGGAGTAGGTCTTATTCTAGAGATTCTTACGAACATTTTGATGCAAAAATCATAAAATTTGCTCAACTCTACAAAAAGTTATAACATCTTTAAAGAAATTTTGCAAAATACACTAAAAACATCAGGGGAAACCGTGGCCGAGTGGTCTAAGGCGCGCGACGTCAATCCAGCGCAAAAGTACGGGGTTGTTGGTTCGACTCTCCCGCGCACTTCAGTCATTATTTTGCATATTCCTTAATTGTTTTGAGTGAATACGATACATAGCTACATTGTTCTTTTGAACAAAACAATTGTGCAATAGAGAATTTTTTAAATTTTCTCATTTCTTCTTTAAAAAATGTTATAACTTTTTGTAGAGTTGAGCAAATTTTATGATTTTTGCATCAAAATATTCGTAAGAATCTCTAGAATAAGACCTACTCCTTCGTTTTTGGTTCTAGACCCTCGTTGTCGAGTTACGAGCTCCAAACTGCAGGGTACCACAAAATTTCCCATACAAAATGACCAAAAAACTGCTAAAACTCAATTTAAAAAATTTCTGTCAGAGGGATTTGGAAAATTCCTTCAGATTCGGAATCAGCACAATTTTCCGCATCTAAAAAAGGTACTCCCAGAAAAATCCTATAGAAAACGCATTTTTGCCTTATTTCGCGCCGATGTGGGGGGGGGGGGAGCACATATTCAAAATTTGGAAAAAAATATTTTTATTTTACTCGAATTTGATCAGAAACATAATCAATAGGTTAAATTCTGCCAGAAGAAGTGTTTTTGGTTTCAAAAAATGTTTTGTGCAACCATTTTTAGACCTCTTCCCTATGTCCCTCTTCCCGATTCTCCTCACTGTATGAGCGCACACTTTGGAGCCCCAGAACTCGACTTAAAACGGCTTTTCTCGAGCTCTTGTTGTGTTTTTCGAAATCTACGCATAAAACTACCCCAGAAAAGGTGGTTTTGAAGACAAAAAAAAACTCGTGCCCACTCACTCACCTAACCGACGAGAACAACAGTGCGACACAGAGGGAAACAAGGAGAATCGTTCGCGCCAAATGCGTGTAAGTGTCACCACGACGCGGGAACCACCACAGTAGCCAGCCTGGAAATCAGAATTGAAAGATTTTAGACTTATTTATGATAGAATTATGATAGAATTCAAAAATTTTAGTCTTGTTCATGATAGATTAAAAAAATGCAAAAGCAAGCTTGACAAATTGTCTTCTCAAAATCTCTACCAGCTACTGTAACCCTGACAGCTAATTGTAGAAAGGTTTAGTTACCGTAACCCAGATATAATTGACTGTATAGATGGATCGGATACTCAACTTTCTATTTCCAGTTTACGGTAACTTTCCCCTCAACATTTAGCCAATCTTATCCAATTTTAGCTTACCCAAAAGATTCCCGACAAGCACACTCGCCACCACTTCTCCAATCGTTGCCAAAATGATCTCAACTGGAGCTTCTAGGATTGATTTTTTTTCTATAAAACTTATCATTTATTAGCCAAACCCGGTGAGAAGACGAATTTCTGGATCACTGAGTACAAAATGACCAATAGAAGGTTATCGATAGAGGCACAAGCAACGATCAGTGATGGGATTCCCTAAAAAATCAATAATTAAGTGCCCCAGGACTGGTGTTTACAAAATTTCAGCACAAAATGTTAAACTTTACCTTATCCGTGCCGAGATTCTTATTCTGTAAATTCAACAGCGATGGGATGATGACAGCTTGCGAAGTGGCACCGAGGAGAAGACTGAAAATTGAGAGATTTGATAGCTTGGTTGGTTTCAAGCTTGGTTTGATAGCTTGGTTTCAAAAAATGCATTCCATTCTACCCAAAGATAAGACTAATGCCGAGCGGGAACGCAAAAATGAGATGAGCAGCCAGGCAGATGGCGGTCGACTCAAGGAGTGGCGCTAAGCCGCCCAACGCCAACAGGACCACCTAAATATTTGATTTTAGGGGAAATGATGTGATTTTTGATAAGAAATCGTTTAACAAAAAAGCCCTAGACCGCATTTTGACTTCAAATTTCAAATTTTGATTCAATTCAAATCCAAATTCTAAAAGCTCAAAACTCCTAGCTAAGACTTTGAAAGGTAAAATTTTCAATCTAATTTAATAGATCTAAATTTTAAGACTTTTAAGACTCGTATTCTATTTCTTTGCTTTGTTAATTCTATTTAATTTCTTTCTTCTACGGACTTGCGGCACATCGGCGAGCCTACCAACCGGAGTCGTGATCACCGTTGACAAATCGATGCCCAGACAACAACGCACGAGCAAGACGGCGAATGAAAGCTTGCCGAGTAGGAGATCCCACGTTGGATGAATCCAAAGCCATTCGTTGATGATTGGAATGTTGCGGAGAGCGATGCCGAGTAGGAGGCAGCCTAAAAGTCAAAAAGATTTGGTGATCTTATAGCCAAAACGGTTTTGCTTCATTTTCTTAACAGAAAACATTAGCTACTCAATTTCTTAGCCTGTTAATTATCTAGAACTATCGAAAACCGGTTATAAGGCTTTTATAATAGACGACAACCAGCTGAAATAGCTCTAACAAGCTTTTTCAGCTTGACATGATAGAGAGGTGTCTTAAATTCACGATAAATTCACCATTTGCCCCTTTTCCAAAAAACTCACCAATCGATGGCGGCAGACGAACGTAGAAAAATAGTCGCCCGCCCAACAATCCCAATGAGATGACGAAAAATAGCGACATCGACGACTTCACCACCTCTCCACCCACATCAATTGATAGATCTGCTCGTGTATCATTCGCATTTCCTGAATATTTTGTTGTTGTTGATACAAAAACCAAAAATTCTGGTTTCATTATATAATTATCGATTTTGAAACAAGCTTGATGGCAAAAAAAATGCTTTGCATCTGCTGGAACTGGAAGAAGAGCTTTATTAAACTAATCTTCCCATCAAAACTCTTTAATTTGACTAAAAATTTCATAAGATCGACATCGACAAATCGACAAAACAAAGAAAATCACTTGGAAGCAGCCAAATCCCATTAACTCAAAGTTGCAAAAATATTTATGTACAACAAGAAAAAACAAATGAATGAAAAGTGTCACAACGCAAGAATCCTCATTTTCTCATTAATTTTTATGTACATGCTGAAAAGTAACAATTGAATAGGACTTTAAAAAAACTGTAAAACCCTGCAATTCACTTTTCGTTAATTTTACGATACTGGGCGAAGAAGCGATAGAATTTCATGTTGAAATGGTAGCCACATTCCCTCTTGTCATCGATTCTCTTCTTGAAGTAGCGCTTGTTCTTGGGGGAAATTGTGTAACGCTTACAGATCGGATAATTTTCCAAGGCCTTAAGCTGATCAATTTCGGAGGTTCTCCTCTTCGACACCATTAGGTTGTAGAGAACACCATTAGAGAAAATCGACAATTTCGCATGCAAATTGGTCCATTCTCTTTTTGCTGATGATCGTAATGGCTGATTCGGGATGTTTGCTTGGAATTTCCTCGGTGATCACTTGATAAACAAGTTCTTGGTAAGGTTTAATCCAAGTCTAGACCGATTGCGTCGAAATTTCGATCATTTCAGCTTGACCACGTGAAAGTACTTGATACACTTTTGGAAACTATGCTGAATGACAAAATAATCTGAAATCTCCATACATGCAGTAAAATGAGTGTCAAAGAAAGTTGAGGGAAGTTACTCCGGGAAACCATTTCCTCGTGGAAGGTATTAGAAGATCAACTGAACTTTGTTGATTGGTGGCAAAGCAAAGCAAAGATCGTTCCATTCTTCGTGAAAAAGAGAAAAGTCGTCGACCGAACACAAAAGTTCATTAACAGAAACCAACTTCGAAACGAGAGCAATTTGAGCTTGCTTCACATCACATGCTTCACATATGCCACATTACTCATCAACAATTGCCACCTTTCGCAAGAGCTAATCCTCTCGATGAAAACTGATTGACAAAGAAGATCGAAACGATTGAACGGAGACTGGGCAACTCGTGCAGAACTTCTTGATATAAGCGAGCGATGTTTCCAAATCTATCAAATACACGTTTTCCAAAAAAACTCTCCATGGTTCCTCGAAGTAAATCGACCGAAATCCCTTGTTCACTTGCATCAATTCTTTAACATCCCTCAAATCGACTTGTTCCAGCATCTCCCGTTTCGTAACACTCTCCATCGGTCGTAACAAAACTTCTCCATCGGGAATGATGTCAGATTTCTCATCTCGAAGCCAGTCATTCTACCTGAAAATAAAAACTAGCAGCCATTCAAAAGATAATCGTTAAGCAGCAACGTTTTAAACAGTTATTACACTTAAATTTAGCACGTTCAGCTTGTTTTCAATTTCAACAGAGAAACACTAAACGAATAATCTAGGAATTTGTCGGTAAATCCCTCATATACAAATGTTCACCAAAAAGCGGCAACTCGGCTTGCTCCAATCTCAAATACACTCAAACTTAGCACAAATCTTCAAGGTATTGTCAAGAAAGTGAACCTTTACCAAGAGATCAACAATGACGAAAATATTTTATTTCAATCCAACCGATAATCATTCTATATAAAGGGTGATGAACACGAATAAATAAATAACAAAAAAGAAGAAGAAGAAGAAGAAGAAGAAGAAGAAGAAGAAGAAGAAGAAGAACAAGAAGAACAAGAAGAACAAGAACAACAACAACAAGAAGAACAAGAAGAACAAGAAGAACAACAAGAACAACAAACAAACAAACACTACAACATCAAACATTCACAATCTTGCGATATTTGGCAAAGAATAACTGCGAATTATTATCAACAACATAGACACATTCTCTTTCACGATCGATTTTACGCTTGAAACAGAAGCTTTGATTCTTGGAGATGTCAACATTCTTCGTGATTGCATATCTGCTCAAAGTTTCGACTGCAAATTGATAGATTCCGGTAGCCTCAGCACCGTGAACTTCTTGAATCTCTGGTGTTTGTGTGAGAATAATCGTGAGGCTTTGCTTAAAATTTCGCATCCAACTTTTCGGCCCAACAATCACAATAGCTGCATCTCGATTTTTGCTGGGAATCCCCGAGGTGATCACTTTGTGAACGGTTATCCAGGGATCAATAGAATTGGCGTCAAACCTGTAGACATTTACAATAAGGTTGATCATTTCAGCTTCACCCTTTGAAAGGCCTTGGAAGAAATTGAAGATCTTTGTCGACGGGCATTTCACGAGAATTTCTCTGCAATTGGCAAGCAGAGTCTTGACAAAATTTGAGAAGATTTCCATCGAATCATCATGTGAAAGAGGATACTCGAAAACAGTTGTGCCCTTTCGTTGATTGGCGGTAAAATGTTTATCCACTCTTGCTGAAAACAAGTAAAAGAACGAACTGAAAGCTCGAGTTCGTTTGCGAATGATAGTTTCGAAATGAAAGTGAATTGGGGTCGATCTTTTAAAGCATCAGTTGTACACCCGAGAACTTCCAGTGACATTTTGATCTTCTCGCATGAATGAATCCGTTTGAGTAAAGCAGAATGACGTGAAAGCTGGAAATAGCTCTCTCGTTGGATCGATTTATACCAAGGAGTTGAATCGGAATCTGTGCATTCGCTCAATAGATACACGGGAAAAGAATGGGGATTCTTCTTGATGCAAACGTCGTCTCCAATCTCGATCAAGTGAACGTGTTTCCCCAGAATTCTCCACGGTTCCCTCATTAAAATCGATCGAAATCCGGCATTCACTTTCATCAACTCTTGCATATCTTTCGGATCGACTTGTTCCAGCACTTCCAACTTTAGGTCGTAGCACAGCATCTCCATCTCGAAGCCAGTCATTCTACCTGAAAAGAGAAAAACTGGATTGGAAAAAAAATTGGTTGAAAGCTTGAACGAGAATAAACGAGAAGCGTATAAATAATACAGTGATCTTAAGAATTTTATATTGCGACAATTATCTATCAGACAATTATCTACCAGGGTGCTATAGTAGTGGGAGGGACACAAATTATTTTGTTTTCGCTAAATGAACTATTTTTTTGCACCTAGGGGTTTTTGACTATACTGAATCGATTGGTGATGGTTTCACACAACATTGCACAACATTTAACAACGTTTATAACAAATAGCAATAAAAATAACAAGAACAAAATGTTAAACAAGTTACCAACGAGGGCATGACTCAAGAAAACGGGTACTTTTTGGCCACTTCATCCCAGGAAAAGTACATTATGTTTTTTTAGCATATTTGTTATAAACGTTGCTAAAAGTTGTGTAAAACTATCACCAATCGATTCAGCATAGTCAAAAACCCCTAGTTGCAAAAAAATCAGCTCATTTAACAAAAAAAATTTTTGTGCCCCCCAACTACTATAGCCCCAGAGCCAGTGCAGTTTGACAGTGCTGTTAAGTTCGACAAAAACAAGTGAGTAGTAAGATTTTAACCTGAAATGAAGAAAATTATGAACAGAAACGTTTGAAAGCTAAAGAAACAGTGAAAAAATCGCTCGCAGAAAGGGAATTTGGGTAAATTTTAAATTTTCAGCAAATCAAAATGCTTTTTTACGAGAGAAAAGTGCTTTTTTTAAGAGGGAAAAGTGCAGAGATGATAGAATTGAGCAAGATTTTAGCCGCATAAACGTTGAAAATACGCAAAAATAAAGCGCAAATTGGACCAGTGCAGTAAAAAATTTGAAAAAATCAGTCGAAAATTTTCCAGACAATTTTTCAGACAATTTTTCAGACTACTGTACTTCGCGTCGTTTGATAAAATGCATTAATTTCTGAAATTTTTTTGTTTCTTTTTTTTCGGGAATTTTGTTTTTGTTTGTTTGTTTGTCTGTTTATTTGTTTTTCTTTGTTTTTCTTTGTTTTTCTTTGTTTTTCTTGGGGGTGCGACAAATGCGACCTTTTTTTGGACATTTGCGCACCTTTTTTTTGCTGGAAAAGGCCTTAGGAAAGGTCGTAGAGCTTCAAAAATGTTTTCATAGAAGGAAATCGTATGCGTAGATTCCGAATTTCGACAAATCAGACCTCGCTGACACGTTAAATTTGGGCTAAAAGGCGAAAACTACGCAACTTAACGCTTTTCCGCAGTTTTTGCCTTTTAGCCCAAATTTGACGTGTCAGCGAGGTCTGATTTGTCGAAATTCGGAATCTGCGCATACGATTCCCTTATATGGACATATTTTCGAAACATTTTCGAAGCTCTACGGCCTTGCCTAAGGCCTTTTCCAGCAAAAAAAAAAGGTCCCACCCCCTTTTTCTTTGTTTTTCTTTATTTCTTTAGACAAAAATTTTGCTGTTTTTTTTGCTGTTTCCAGCTTTTTCTAATGTGCTGAACTTGATAAAATCCAATTTTTTGTTCCCTCACCAAATGGATGAAAAACGTGTTGCCCAAGTGCGGTGACGATCGAAAAGTAGATCGATACGAAGATCAACACCGATGTCACCAGAATATTCACCTGGGAAATGAGTTTCGTGGAATCAGCAGCCAATTATTTGCTCAGCCAATTCAGTATTTTCACTCACTTGTCGATGATTGAAAAAGTTGTGCACATGATTCTGGATCTCGCTACTCCAGTGCTCCATTTGCTGTAAATTTTATCGAAATCAAAAAACTTGGTAGTAATTAGGCAAAAAGCACTCGAATTGTCGCCGAATTTTGTCGAGTTTTCACAATTCTCCCATCAATGCCTGTCGAATTTGCATCGTTTTTGCATAATCCATTGAGTTGGCGATGCTTTTTACGCACTTTTCCCCAATCATTCTCGAAAAATGAGTCATTTTCGGTGATAAAACGATTACATAAGAGCAATAGATTGATTTGCGAGTTTCATCAAAGCTCAGCTTGCTTTTGGGGAGCTAAAGAACGGATCTAAAGCTCTAGATCTAAATCTAAAGCTCTAGATCTAAATCTAAAGCTCTAAATCTAAAGCTCTAAATCTAAAGATCTAAATCTAAAGATCTAAATCTAAAGATCTAAATCTAAAGATCTAAATCTAAAGATCTGAATCTAAAGATCTAAAGCTCTAAAGCTCTAGATCTAAAGATCTAAATCTAAAGCTCTAGATCTAAAGCTCTAGATCTAAAGCTCTAGATCTAAAGATCTAAATCTAAAGAACTAGATCTAAAGCTCTAGATCTAAAGCTCTAAATCTAAAGATCTAAATCTAAAGAACTAGATCTAAAGCTCTAGATCTAAAGCTCTAAATCTAAAGATCTAAATCTAAAGCTCTAAAGCTCTAGTTGATGATCATCAAATTTTGCTTAAAAACTACAATTTTCGGCTTTTATTATGTCTCTCTAGCAGCTTCTAGCCAAAATATTATCGAAGTGATATCTAGAGGAGAAAGAAAGAAAGAAAGAAAGAAAGAAAGAAGTTGGAAGAAAGAGAAGACTTGCGTGTGTCCGTCCTCTTGCCCGTGTGCAAATAGTGATCGGCCGATGGAAAGGGGTGACTCCTCGAGACATCGCTTCATTCCCCTCCTTCCTTTGTACACGTATTGTCCATTATCAAATTGTCCCATATTTTTGATTGTCCCATGGCCTGGCTTACCCTCTAGTTTTTTACGATCTTTATTAATGTGATTGATTTTTGTTCTATCTTTAAGCCAGCTTGTTTTTTTGTAAGCTAAGGCTTTCCTATTTCTGAAAATGCTCACTTTTTAGATTGTTTAGCTTAGAATTAATTAGAATTAACAGGACTGGATCAATATCAGCAGATCAAATATCATTGAATAACTTTAAATCGAATTGAGATTCTTTCTGGAGCTCAATGAGATAGTTTTCCTCATTTGCAAGGCAGTTCTATACAAAAAGATAGATCCGCTAAAAGGTGTGGTTTAGGACTGAGGGATTTTAGCGTTTTCTGAAAGAATTCGCCGCTTTCTGAGTCGATATTTGTCTTAATTGGAAGTCAATTTAGTGAGTTTATAGCGTTTTTTGCAGGATTATTCGTTTTTGTTTTTACAGTTTGACAGGATTGGAATTTCTACGAAAATCATCGTAGAAAATCGTCGTAGAAAATCTTGATGGAGTACATGTCAACTAATTTCCATGTAACATTTATAACTTTTTAACATGTCCATCCTGCGTCACATCTACTCTACTAAACCCAAAACAAACAAGTTTCTCGAAAGCTTCCTGCTTTAAATTGTAAAGTGATTACGCGTTGAGTGGAAAGGCTTTCCTTCTCAACATTTTTCCCAAACCACACCCGTTTTCAAAGGATAAACCAAAGAAAAACACAAGCATTGTTTATTTTGTTCAACTTTCAAGCTACAGAGTTTATGGATTAAATAATAAAAGTTAATTTTAAGTGCTTTCAGCGATTTTAATCTAGACATCTTTTCTTGAGCTTGCGACTTTTAGTCAAGCGTCTGATTGCTAATTGCTGCATCCCAAAACGACTTCTTCTTTAGATCCAAAGCAAACAACCCTTCAATGCTTTGAGAGCATTCAACGTTCAGAGCATTCACCGAAATTCACGTTCTTTCTTTATTTTATTTCCGATTTTTAAACAGTTTGACTTAAAAATTCCAGGACTGGATGAATATTTGATGATAGAAAACTTCCGAATTGATTTAAATCAATTATTTAGCCTTTCTGGAGCTCAATGAGATAAATAGATAAATTTTAGGGTTCACAATAAATTATGGTGCTAATTATCGAATGTGCGATTTAGGACTGGGCGCTTTTCGCCTTTTCTAAAGTTTTTCAAGTGTTTCAAAGTTTACATTAATCTTAGCTGGAAGGCAGATTAATTGTTTTCCGTAATGGTTTTCGATTTGCTTAAAACTTGATGTAAGCAGCTTATAATCAGAAAGAGGACTGGAGGATTTTCATGTTATCTGTAACAGCTCACCGATTTCTGAGCCAATATTGATCTTATCTGGAAATCACTGTAATCTGTTTTGTTAAAGTTTTTCCCATTTTGCCAAATTTCATTTAAATGATGTGCAAATTGACGAATTGACGAAATGATGTGCAAATTGGGAATTATAACGTTTACTGAAACAGTTCTAAGCTAATTAAGGTAGTCAGCTCAGTCAACTCTTATCTGGTAGTCAGCCTAATATTTTCTACTACAATTATACAACTACAACAATTTCTACAACAATTTTTACTCTATATGAAATTTCGGCTGAAGCAGCCATTTGACTTTTAGGACTGGCTAGCTCCTCATTTGTACAAGGTTTAAAAATAAATTTTGAGTCAATTTTTTCTGTTCTGGATATCATTTAAGCGATCAAGCAACTTTCACGTAATTTTATTAAAATACAAAAAAAGTAATTTTATTAAGATACAGGACTGGCTCTTTTTCTTCCGTTTAATAAAATTTAGCAAAATTTTGATCACGGATTTTTCTTTCATGGAACACATTTCAATATTATTAAATACTAGATTCTTGTTTTTCGTCCTATTAGAAAAAAGTCATTTTAGTTAGATACAGGGCTGGCTCTTTTTCTTCCGTTTAATAACATTTCGCAAAATTTTGATCACGGATTTTGCTTTGATGGAACACATGTCAATATTATTAAACACTAGATTCTCGTTTACTATCTTTAAAATTTTGACAAACCGCACTTAATATTAACATTAAGATTAACATAACATTCCGGGGTCATGCACGCCAAAAAGCTGTTGCTTGCTAATAGGCAAAAGACATGCGAAATGTGTATGGTTTGATCGATTGAAGCTCTCTTTTCCCTCGGGACTCAAACCCCAAAGAGACCCGCAGGGCAAAAGAAATGGAAAGGTCCAGGCGATGCTTTTGTCTCTGCGTTTCCCGTGTCCCATTGGGATATCCTCTTTTTTTGCGCTTTCCGGCCTCTCCTCTTGAGGAGACCCCCCAGCTGCCCTCCTTCTTCTGTTCTGTTCTCCTCCCCTCTTATCTCACCCATTTTTTTTCGCTCTCATTTTCTGTCGTCCGCGAAACATGAAATTTGCCGCAAATATAGCCCTTTTGTCCATCATTTTTCGCTTTCTGATTTCTTGAGATTTCCTTCTAAGGGTTTTCATTCAAGATTTCATTCAAGATTTCATTCAAGAAAGGATTTGAGAGTTATTTTAGGTGAAAATACATTCTAGGATTTTATTGGATGGACTCTTTCATCTGATCTTTCAAAACATCTGAACTATGGATCTTTCAATTAGTTATATAGTTAGTTTGACTTAGAATTTGATCTAGTTGTGATGTTATTTTTAAATTTTTAAAAAATCGAGACTACCGACACGGGCCGGAGCCGAACCAGCGTCGTGTGGGCTAGAAAGAAATGCGTTCGCACTGCGCCATGGCCTGCTTGGGACCAGAGACGAGTTAACGTCTCTCAAGGATAGTCGAGCGGCCTCAAGGATAGTCGAGCGGCCTCAAGGATAGTCGAGCGGCCTCAAGCATGGCCGAGCGGCCTCAAGCATGGCCGAGCGGCCTCAAGCATGGCCGAGCGGCCTCAAGCATGGCCGAGCGGCCTCAAGCATGGCCGAGCGGCCTCAAGCATGGCCGAGCGGCCTCAAGCGGCCGAGCGGCCTCAAGCATGGCCGAGCGGCCTCAAGCATGGCCGAGCGGCCTCAAGCATGGCCGAGCGGCCTCAAGCATGGCCGAGCGGCCTCAAGCATGGCCGAGCGGCCTCAAGCATGGCCGAGCGGCCTCAAGCATGGCCGAGCGGCCTCAAGCATGGCCGAGCGGCCTCAAGCATGGCCGAGCGGCCTCAAGCATGGCCGAGCGGCCTCAAGCATGGCCGAGCGGCCTCAAGCATGGCCGAGCGGCCTCAAGCATGGCCGAGCGGCCTCAAGCATGGCCGAATGGCGAACGCATCTTTCAAACGAACGGAGAGGTCCCGGGTTCGACTCCTCTTGCCGCCAATTCTTTTGCTGCTAGATGAATTTTGGCAGCTTAGCTAGATATTTAGCTAGATACTTTTTCTTACTACTCTACATTCTTTTTTTCCCTTTCCGGCCCCTCATCTCTCCCTCATAAGCCCTCCTTGACACTCAGCTCTGATGAGGGTAATTGAATCGAATATTCGATCGCATTTCCTTCCTACACCCATGCTCTTTCAGTAATTATTAATGCAAATTGAGAGATTAAATTTCCAGACCACTGCCGCTTTCATGTTCTTTCACAATTTGTTAATTTCAATTTCCGGGAACCATTTTGACTGAGTTTGATTGAAATAGAAAAAAAAATTCGAACAAAAATTCCCATTAACAAATTACCAGTAACAAACTGCCAATAACAATTACATGCGTTCCAGAAAAAGCAAAACTTTGCATAAAAATCAAATTGCCTTCACAACAAAAAGATTTTTGCACCAGTCCTATTTCATCTTACAGGACTGGCACATTTTACAATACGAGTTTTATGATTTTCAAAAAACAATTAATTTTTATCGTTTTATGGATGTCAGCCTGTAAAACTAGAGGTAAATCTAGCTTTTCTTGACAATTTTAACTTTCCCGAAGCTGATCCATACGAGTTTTCAAACACATGGCATTTTTTCGATGTTATCGCCGAACAATCGATTAATTCGGTTTTTCTAGCCTCAGCCTCCTCTCACTCCTACTCAATTTGTTCCTCTTTCTCTGCTTTGA